GTGGACGCTCAAGGAGCCGTTTGAGGTGAGGACCTCGGCACTGTTTTGCCAGTGATCATCAATGTCGTGCAGATTGTTTGATGTTTTTTAATCTCAATGTTTGGATCCGGTGCCTCACAAATCGCTGCGTCCGATTGCTCCACTGACCGTGGGTTTGGTGGGAGGATTGTACACCGGGATTGGTGGGGCAGCCCCCCTTGTTCTGGTTTCAACCCATTGGCGCTGCTGCGTGCCCTCTCACACCCGTGCCACACTCACCCCACCCCCACCCCACCCCACCTTCCCAACCCAACCTCAGGGCATTAACTATCATGCGCTGCTGCACATGATGAGCGTGGCCAAGGAGCCCGTCAGGCCGCCCCTGCCCGGTGAGCGCGCCATTCACCCCCCCCGTTCCACTGCGCAGCGCGGCGTGGCAGCCCTTGTGAGGCCGGTTGACGAGCATGGTCCCTTTGCGCCTCGGCATGCTGTCAGTACCACATTACTCAACCCGCGCACCAGGGGTGGACTAGCTGCGTGCGGGGGGGGGGGAGGGCGCGTCCGGTCGGGGCCGAAACTGGGGCGCGGCCGCCATCGTTCTCGCTTGGTTCAAATCATTTGTTGCCCGCTTGGTATGCTCTCCATGAACCAATCTCGGGTATGGCGGCTGCCATCTCCAGAGGCGCCATGACCTCTCCCCTGCCCGCGCGCGCCGCCCTTCCCCCCTCCCCCTTGCATTACTCAACGCCACACCTCGCGCGTCGTGCCGCAGGCGCGCCGGACTGGGAGGGCGAGCACCCTGCGCAGCCCGCGGCGGGCTGGTCTGAGCTGCTGCAGGTGGGCTCCGCTCGCGGGTCGGGGGCGCCTCTCGGTCCAGGGCTTTTCTGGGGTGCAGGGCTTTTCTGGGGCGCTTTTCGGAGGCTCTGGCGCGGCAGGGACGGGGCGGGCAGCTCTTTCGCGCGGGCAACTGGCCGCGTGGCGTCCGTGGGCTTCCAGTGCGCGCCACCCAACACGCACGCTGGAGGCAGCGCGTCGCGCAGCATCCAGATCGACTTGATTGTACTCAAACGTGGCTTGACGCGCCCCCCCGTCTTCCCCCCAGGACTGCTGGTCTGAGTCCCCCCTGGCGCGCCCCAGCTTCAGCGCCATCGTGGCGCGGTTGGAGGAGATGGCCCGGTCCATCAAGATAGCCAAGCGCCGCACCGCCGGCGCGTGAGCCCCCGGCGCCCGACGGCGGGCGGCGGCGGCGCCGCGCGCACGCTGGCGCGCTTGCAGGGCGCGGGATGAGCCAAGAGCACGGCCGCTCCCGGCTGCCTGCCAAGCTACGCAAATGTCACGGCGTGCGGTTGAGCAGGAGGACTTGATACGGCAAGCTCCGCGCGCAGGTCCTTCCCGGCGGAACCGGCCCGTTGGCAGGCAGCGCGTGCGCTGTGCACGTGCCTGGGGCCTTTCCGTGTGGTGGTTGATCGCGGGCGCTCCCAGCGCCCGCTGGTTGGGCGGGGCGGCCCGCAACGGTCCGAGCTGACCTTTTTTGCATCAACACGCTCTCGAGTGTGCATGGGGTTCTTTAGAGCACGATTCGGATACCTGCATCCCCCAGGAGCCTGCTTGCTTGATATGCCTGCATCACAACCGTACCAAACAGGAGGGCATAACGTGCACTTTACAGTTCGACCCACACGGCGCCCGCCCACCACAACCCGCCGTCGCTCTGAGTGAAAGGTTGAAATCCCTCGAGTCATGCGCTTGCCCCCACGCGCTGGCCGGCGCTGCTCGCAGCCACCACAATGCGAGACACGTCCAGCGGGCGCAGAAGTCAGCGTGCCGCCACTCATCTCTAATACTTTATTCATCATGCCTGCGCCTTGCTGACTGTCCGCGCCCACACGGTTTGCTGCACCTCTGTTGCCCCCTGGTTCAGTCGCTATTGGGTCGCGCCCATAGTTTGTTTGCGATCTCTGCGGCGCCTTGCGCTTGGCAGAGCAAAACGCGCTTGGCCCTCGGCCGCGCGCGCAATCTTGTGGATGGTAGCAGGCCTGACGCTGCGCCCGCAAGGGCCCGCACTTTTGCGGGGGTGCCGTCCTGCCGGGCGCGCCGCATCCCTCCCGTCGCCTTGAATCACGTGCGAGCCTGCGCGCGGCAACCCTCCAGGCGGGCGACTTGCGCGCCGCTTTTCCAGCCGCGCCCGCTGCACGGGCCGGGTTTGGCCGGGGCTCCCACTGCGCGCCTTCAGACGCTCAGCTCTTGAGTCGCACTGATCCTTGAGCGCCGCGCTCCTCGCGGCGCGGCGCGGCCGCCTGCCAGCTCGGCCGCGCGACGCCTCCTGTTTCGTTGTCCTATAGGGGGTTGTGATAGCAGGTGTGGTTGCAGCCCATCGTCGGTCGGCCAGCCACGCACTTTGGTCCCTTTTTCAACTGCAGATCCAAGATCGCTACTGCCCAAAGACGAGTGGCAACCGCACCGCTCAAGGTGGCGCCAATCGCTGCTATCAATTCCACCCGGCGCGTCGCCAGGCGCGAGCGTTGGCCGTGCCCCGGCGCGCACAACCCAGCACTGCCGCGGCCTGGGGCGCGCCGGCACGCGCACATTGGCGCGGCCGGCGTGCCCCTCGCTTCTTGAACCGATGCCTTGCGGGCCTGCTGGCCAGGCTGATGCGCGGTAGAGCCCGCCTCCCGTCCTTTCGCTCGCCACTTGTCCATGGCTTAGCGGCATGCCGGCCGCCCCCCCCCCCCTCGCCCCTGCCCTCGCCCTCCACCGCCGCCGGCATACGCCGCCGCGGCGCATGTATGCTGCCTTTGCCGGAGGGGGCGGCGGCGCTCTGGGCGGCGCCCGCGCTCAAAGCCAGAGTCGCCGCCACCTTGCAGCCGCACTCCCAAAACTGAGAAGGCTGAACTTGACAATTGCAAGCGGGCTCGCAGCCTTAATGGGTCCCCAAACACCTCGTGGACACGGCAGCCGTCGCGACCGGCAGTGTGCCCATGCACGCGTTGCATCCTGCCCTGCCCTAGGCCATGCAGCCTACCCATGCGCCCCTGCCTCGCCCCAAAGCTATGCCCTCCGTGCCGCCCGCGGCCGCCCTGCGCTGCGCCTCTGGGCGCTCGAACCCTGCCGTTCGGCGTGCGCGCAGTGCTCGGCGCGAGTGTCGCGCCTGGCAAGCGCCAGCCTGAAAGCGTTTGGCCGCAGGGCCTGCGGCGCGTGCGGAGCCACCTGTGTGTTGGCTGGTGTTGTTTCTCGGCGCCCTTCCTGATGCCGCATCGTGTCATCCCGCCGATCAACGGCCCGCTTGTGTCAACTCGAGTGACTTTTTTACGAGAGTGTATGGTTTCCTTGGTTGGACGCTTTTGCGCGCAACCGGCCAAACCACCAGTGGGTAGCGCCAATCGAGGCGATACGACGCACAGGCACTGCCCACTTTTTTGTCTAGGGGGGAGTCGGGGCTCTTCTGGAAAGAATTTGAAAGGGGTGCACGCGGAACCCACCGCATCATCTTTGAGCGCAGGTGCACGCAGGGACGCGCGCACAGGCTGTCCCAAGTGAACATCAAGCAACGCCTGCCATCGCTTCCAGGCTGTTGGTTGATCAGTGTAAATTGCCCATCCTTGAGACATTCTGTGACAGGTGTGTGAAGCTGTGATTTGGAGATAAACATGCAGTGATTCCTGCGAGCAACTTGCATAGTAGGGGGGAGCAGGCAGCTGCTGAAGAGCTCACTCCTTGTTCCAGACCTGCTCTTGTGAACAAGGAGTGAGCTGGTGAGCAGCTGCCTGTTCCCCCCAACGGCTTAGCTGGGTGGGGGAGAGGGCTCCTAAACTGTCACGTTTATGCGTGCCACACAATATCGCCCCTCCTTATATCTCATCTACGGTACACATGCAAGAACAACTTCACTTGCATGCAGGCTGCTGATGATTTGAATAGATGGCAGCAAGGTGATCTCCCGCTTTTTCTCAGCGGTTACTGCGTCTCAACGATTGAATTAGCCTCACATTTAGTCTAACAGTGACACTGTTCCGGCTTGGCACGGCAGCAGCAGTGCGAGGATGGCGTTCTCCTCGGATCAGCTGCTGCAAGACCTGCAAAGTCTCGTGGGCGAGGAGCTCAAGGTGGGTGAGAGATACCGCAATTTGCTGAACCTGATTCGTCGATATTGAGAAGGCCCTGAGCAGTCTGAGCGCTCCGTCGCAGGTTGTGACGTATAAGTGGCTCGCGCGGCAGTACTCCATACCATCAAACTACGCCAAAAAGTGCGCGCAACGAGGGACCCTTGCAGGGCTGCTGGGTGCGCCTGTAATTGCCCGCCTGCTATGCACGCCACGCGGCGCGATCCGCCGTGTCGACCGCGCGGCCCTCTGCACCCCTCCTCGCAGAGTGTTGTTCAAGTTTGCGGAGGATCAGGGGCAGAATGTCAGGGCGCTCTACCTCGTGTCGGGCTGGGCCAAGGTGCGAAGGAGCAGGCAGGGGGCGCCCAGCATTTGGTGCTGCGTGGCAGCCGAACGCGGCGCCCCTCCGATTGTACGCACCCAGCCCTGGACTGGTGTCCCCACCAACACACACGCAGGACGGCGGCGGCGGCGACGACGCCGTGCCGTGCCACGTCGTGCGCGTCGTGGATTCACGGGACCTCGCAGCCTGCCGCGCCGAGATGGAGCCCGTCACGTGCATGCACGTGCACAGGTGCGCGCCGCCACCGAGCCCGGCGTCCCCGTGGCCGCTGGCAGGCAGCTGTGCCTGCGGCGATCGCACGCCGCGCCGCGCGGTCGGGCGCGCGTCTTCGGCGCGCTTGCTCGCCCTAGGCTGTCCCCTTTTACAAACCCCCTCCTCCTGTCCCATCCCTCCCAGCGTGATGCCCAACCAGCCCATCGACCTGTCATTTGTGGCAAACGAAGACTACCTCCAAGTGAGCCCGGCGGACAGGGGGCCCACGCTTGGCCGAATCACAGCAATAGAGTAGCTGGTGGGAGACAGAGGTTGTGGCATCCCGGGCGATGCCACGAGCAGCGCACACTCCCAGCAGCAGGCGCAAGAGGCCGCACAGGCCTCAGCCCGCGGCTCCAAGGCGGCCGCCCCCCGGCCCCGGCCCCGCGTGACTGTCTCTCGCCCATTGGGGTGTTGGGTCCCTTCCCCTCCGCGCCAATTATTGATTTCTGCATACCCCAGGCCCAAAACATGTACCAGGCGGTAATCAGGGGCGCCGCCCCGCGCAGCGGCGGCGCGTCGGACCCCTTGTCGCGCAACACGTGCAGTGCCGTCAGGTGCGCGGGTGGGACGGGGGCGGTGCCCGGGATCCACAGCGTGCGTGTGTCCGGCTGCAAGCGCTGCACCGGCCCCTCGGTTGTGGAGCAGCGGAGCAGCAAAGCAGCGCGTCCGTGCTCGCGGGGTCACTGTGAAGAGCGCGTGCTATGTGGGGGCGTCTGGGGTTGGGATTCGCAGGTGGGAGGGGCGGAGCGGCCCCGACCGTTTTGCGGCACGTCGACCTGCGGCACGCAGGTATGAGGCAGAGGTCAGGGCCGGGCCAGACGCTTCAAAGGTGGCCGCCGCGTCTGCGGCCGCGGCCGCTGCGGCCGCCGCCGGCGCCGGGAGCGGCAAGGGGAAGGGGAAGGAGAACGGCGGCGGCGGCGGCGGCGGTAGCGGCGCCGCGGCGGCGGCGCTGCCGGCTGCGGCGGCGAGGGCGCCGCACGCCGGCGCACCGGACGCAGCGGCGGCGGCGGGCGGGAAGCTGGGCGGGGGCGTTGGCGGGGTCGGAGATTCCGGAAAGGCGGCGGCCGGCGGCAAGGGTGGCGCCGGGAAGGCGGCGGCGGCCAAAGGCAGCATCTCCCAGATGTGGGCTAAGAAAGCCTCAGGGGAGCCCGCAGCCAAGCCTAAGGAGGCAGCTGCCCCCAAGGCGGCGGCGGCGGCGGCGGCGGCGGCGGCGGCGGCGGCGGCGGCGGCGGCGGCGGCGGTCAAGCCTGCAGCTGCAGAGGTGGGCAAGGTTTCGCGGCGCGCTGATGGCGTTTTGCCCGCCTGGCCGCGTGCTGCTGCAGCAGATGGTGGGATCACCTGGAACCTGCGCCCGCACGCCACACCGACGCCGCTCTCACACCGGTGAACGCATGCAAACAGGCTGTCAAGGCAGCGGCTCTAGCCAAGGCAGCGGCGAGCAAGGCCGCGGCTCCGCCTGAGCCTACCACTGGCGGCGCCAGCGACAGCGACAGCGATGCGGTGGCCGGCGGCCGCGCCGCCAAGCGGCCGCGCGGGCGGCGGGTGGCTGCGCTCGAGAGCGATGAGGAGGGGGAGGAGGCGGTGCAGCCGGCCGCGGCGGCAGGTGTGGGGGCGGTTGGGGGGGCACATGGGCATGGCCTTGTCACCTGGGTTTGGGGATGCGCGTGGGCTTGGCCTTGGTGAATCAGGGGGCCTCGTGTGACGCAGTTGGCATGGCTCTCTGCTGTTCGGTGGGGCGGCGACATACGCGGCAGCTTCAGCCGCGGGTGGCGCTGCACTGCCCAGAGGGAGACCCCTTGGCCAGCACGGGGCGCCCAAGCGCACCCAGCGCCCGCGCCGCCTCGCTCACCCGCGCGCGCCGTGCACGCCTGCAGGGCGCAAGGGCGGCGCTGACAAGGACCTCCTTGCGGCACTGGACTCGCCGCCGCGGGCGCGGGGCCAGAAGCGCGCTGCTGCTGCGAAGGGCGCGAAAGCGGCGGCGGCGGCGTTTGCGTCTGATGACGACGACGAGTTTGAGGCGCCGGCCCCTATGGACAGGGGAGGGCAGGAGGATGAGGATGGCGAAAAAATGGAGGTGGACGGGGCGGGGGCGGGCGCCAGCAGCCGGGGAGATGGAGAGGAGGCGGCGGCGGCCGCGGCCAAGCCCGCGGCCAAGCGGCAGCGGCAGGCGCCCAAGGGCGGCGGCGGCGGGGCCGGCAAGCGGAAAGGCAAGGGCGCGGGCGCGGCCGGGGAGGATGAGGAGGGGGAGGGCGGCGTCTTGGAGGCGCTTGGGGGCAGCGACGACGACGATGGGTGGGACTCGGGCGGCGAAGGGGGCCGCGCAGCCGGCGACGCGCCCAAGGGCAAGGGCGGCGCGGCCAAGGGCGGCGCCGCCGCCAAGGGCAAGGCGGCGGCCGGCGCGGGCGCCAAGGGCGGCGGTGCCAAGCGGCAGAAGAAGGCGTCTGGCGCTTTCAGCGGGGGCGGCGGCGGATACGAAGAGATTGATGGCGGCGCCTCGGACGGGGAGGGCGCCGGCGGCGGCGCGGCAGGGGCGCCCGCCAAGCCGGCTCTGGGCAAGGCGTTCCAAAAGATGCAGCAGCTCGCCTCGGAGCGGCCGGCGCCCGCGCCGCGCGGCGCCGCGGGCGGCGGCGGCGGCGGCGGGCCGCGGTTCGACCCAGTGACTGGGGAGGAGGTGTATGGAGAGGACGAGCCCGCGCCCGCGGCCGCTGCATCAGCGCCGGCGCCGGCGCGGAAGCAGGAGGCGGGAGGCCCCGCGGGTGGCTCGCCGGCGGCAAAGCCGGTTGGTGGGAAGCCGGGCGGCGGCGGCGCGAACAGCAAGCCCGCCGCCGGCGGCGGCTCGGGCGGCGGTAAGGGCGCTAAAGGGAAGGGCACCGGCGGGGGCGGCGGCAAGGGCGGCGGCGGCAAGGGCCAAAGAAACATCATGTCTTTCTTTGGCAAGGGGTGACGTTCCCGTGCCCTGTTGCGATTGCCCTGTGCAGTAAACATGCTGTTGGCGGCCATGCCAGGTGCTCGCGCCCAGCTTGACAGGCTAGGCAGCGTGCGCAAGATCTCAGCTTTTGTGAATGCAGGGAATAGTGGCCGCCTGGGGATCTGTCTTGGCGCTCGCATGAATTGATGCTGCAGCCTGTAAAGGCTGCCATCGTCTAAACAAGGCACCTTGGGGAGGGGCCACGACCAAACAAGAGTGCCCATGAGCCTGTTTGCTACAGGATAAGCAGTGGGAAGCTTGTCTTGACACAACGTGCCTCGTGTGTGCGCCTGCACCTGTGCACACGACACTTTGAAGCCGCCCAACCGTCTGCCATGACCCCAAAACCTGGCTGCCCCGCTGCCACAGAGCTGCTCCGGCATTTCTATGAAAGGGGACCCCCTGCGCAACGCATGTGACGCCTGCATCCCCATAGGCCCTGATGCCATGGGCTTCTCATGTGATGGCAGTGAGGCGGGCAGCCCGGCGGTGGGGGGGGCGGCGCGGCGGCCTCGGCCCCCGCAAGCCAGCCCCCTCTTCCTAAATTTTCAAGGGCGTTACAGCCTGCATAGTCTCTCTCTCTCTCTCTTTCTCTCTCTCTCTCTCTCTCTCTCTCTCTCTCTCTCTCTC